AAGGCCCCGGTGCTTTTGTTTATCTTGTGTTTGTTTTTCTAAGGCTGTAGTAGTGGCATCTTAAAAATAGCACAGACAGCCAAAACCGGTTTGGCTCGGTGGATAGAGCATCGGCCTGCAGACTGAAGAGTCCCGGGTTCGATTCCGGTCAAGGGCATGTACCTTGGTTGCAGGCACATTCCCCAGTTGGGGGTGTGCAGGAGGCAGCTGATCGATGTTTCTCTCTCATCGATGTTTCTAACTCTCTATCACTCTCTCTTCCTATCTGTAAAAAAATCAATAAAAAAAATATATATATATATATTTTTAAATAGCACAGATATGGGAATGAGACAGATGTGGGTTCAAATCCTAGCCCTGCCTGTGTGCCTGGTACAGGTTCTTCACCTCTCTGACCTCAGTTTCCTCATCTGTAAAATGGGGTTAATGATGTATACCTCCACCCAGGTTGTCATAAACCTGAAAAGATATTTAGAGGGCTCAGCTCAATGCCGAGCACACAGTAGGTGCTTAATGAAAGTTCTTGCTTGCCTCTTTATAACTCTCACCTACTGTCTTTAGTGCAGACAAAGCGTGTCTGAGGCCTTAGAGAAGTATGTCCCAGGAGGGGGTCAGACAGAGCTGATCGGGGGTGGACCAGGGAGCATAGGGCAACACACCACGCCAGCCTGAACCGGGGGGCAGCGGGGGGGGGGGGGGGGGGGCGTTGTGCTGCCTCCAGGGCCCCGCACAGACACCCTGCTGTTGGGCCCAACACTAACGACTTCAGTGTGTCTCCCCTTTTAGCTCAAATATTTCTGAAATGCACGCTGCTCGTTCACACATCGCCGGAGGGGCCTGGGGGCCTCCCCGGCTGTGCAATCAGGGCCTCCTGATTGCTTTCTTCTGTGCAGGCTCAGGAAGGAGAGGGGGTGTGGGTGCATGGCGCCGGGGCCAAAGCTGCTCCCATGGCCCGAACCCTGCTTCCCGCCGGGGAGCGCGTTCTGGGCCGGCGGCCGGAGGCTGTCGCTCGGTTGCTGAGAATCTGTGCGCACGGCCTCGGTTTTCTCATGTGTCCGTTGCTGCGTCCAAGGCTTGGAAGATGGACTTTCCACAGGGCTAGCCAAGGCGGGCGTGTCCGGAGGCCAGTGAAAGGGCAGTATTGGGGGAGGGGGAGAGTGGAGAGGAGAGTGGGTGGGACTAGTGAGGCTGGCAAGGATGTGGGTGGGAGACATAGTCCCACAAGGAGGCCTCGGAGAGCTCCTAACCCTTACTGGGCAGCCCAGCTCCACCTCCAGGCCTCACCAGGCCCTGCCCCGCCCTTCCCACAAGCCAGGCTACGCTCACCTTACCTTTCCCTCTCAGCCTTTCTGACTTTATTTATTTATTTAATCCTCGCCTGAGTGTATGCTTTTGTTAAGTTTTAGAGAGAATGGAAGGGAAAGAGAGAGAAAGAAAGAAACATTGATTGGTCGCCTCCCATATGCACCCCAACCAGGGATCAAACCCACAACCTAGGTATGTGCCCTGAGCCCTGACTAGGAATTGAACCTGCGATCTTCGGTGTATGGATTGATACTGCAATCAGCTGAGCTACCCTGCCACAGCCTGGCTTCCTGTTAACTCGGTCTTCTAGCCTTCATTCAGTCCCTTCCTCCAGGAAGCTGTCCCTACACAGGGCATTTTCCTCCTTGCTTCCCACTCCCGGTTCCTTTAACCCACAGAGCACGGGGCATGTCCACCGTGCAGTCTTTGTCACACCGTGCGGTGACATCAGAAACACCGCTAGCTGAGGCACAGAGAAGGGAGGGGAGACTTCCTAAGGATCACACAGGGACCTGCCTCCTGCCGGGTAAACTTCTAGACACTTATTTTGGGGTCTGGGGGAGTTAAGGGGAGGAGAGTGGGGGCATGCATGCAGCTTCCCTTGCACAAGGGATTGGCATTGTCACTGTGGGGATGGGGATATGGTTGGGGACATTTCCAGCACTTCAGAGACGGTTTAGGAAGTGAAATGATGGTAGGTGGTGTACTAACTAGTCCAGGCATTTTTAATTGTAATAATCTTGTATTTACGTTCCTTTGTGTGGCAAGTGATGTTGACGTTCCCCTTATGAAAATGATTACTTTTTCCTCTTTAAAGTGCATTTAAGAAAAAAGCCAACTGGAAGAAAAACAGTAACTGAATAAATACAGGTGGTAGGTGGAAATGGCTGAAGCAATGAATGTTATCCTGATGGAGCCGAACACTAGCATGTGTTCAATTCCTACAGTTTTGGGGTAGAGGATGGGGGGTTTCCTATATAATAGAGGAAGACCTACTGTGTGCTAGGCCCTGTGCTGGGGACCCCAGACCCAGAGCCTTAACACCCACCATTGGAAGAACCAGGCAAACAGGGGTGGTTCCAGTTCAGGAGACCTGCAAATGCAGGGACAGAGATATGGTTGGGGCGGACTCAGGAGGACTTTCCAGAGGAGGTTCCCTGAGGTGAGACTTCGGGGATGAGGAGAATTAGAGTGGGCAGAGACAGTGTTGGGGGGAGATCAGAGGAAACGGAATGTGTGAGGTGTGAGGTACTGGCGTCGGAGAGTGCACTGCCCGTTCTGTGCAGCTGGAGCGTAGCTCATGAATGGATAGATGTGTGTGGTCTTGGGTGAGTCCTGAGCCTTTGGAAGCCTCTGTTTTTCCATCTGTGAAATGGGACAGGATCAGTTCTCCCTCGGCATGGTGGTGAGAATGCTGGTGAGGGCCGCTGGCTCCTCAGAATCTTCAGACAGGAGTTGTCTCCCTTTGTGGATTTTTGGGATCAGAGGAGCGGATGTTGGGGTGTGGGGGAGGAAGGGATGCTGGTGAAATCGGGCTTGGCTTCCTGAACCCGCCCAGCTTCCTGGGGCCAGGACTCCTGATGCTATTCCCTGGGGGAGTGAGTTTGACTTCTGGGCTGGGTTTGAGAGGAGCGAAGGGAGCTCACGGCGTCCAGGAAAGCAGCGTCGGACAGACCGGGGCGGGCTCCGGAGGCCCTGCCCATCAGCCAGAGGCTGATGTTTGTCAGATGCTGGCAAGCACAGTCTCGTGGTGGGAGGTTGGGGAGCTCTGGGGGAGAGGCTTTGTGCTGGGCTCCAGGCTAATCCACTCCCCTTAGCACTCAGTCCTCCCGGCCACACTCAGGAGAGACCATGCTGGTCTCCAGGTGAGGAAACCGAGGCTTAGAAAGGCTACAGGCCTGAGGTTCCCAAACAAGCAGGTGGCAGAGCAGGGTCATTAGGACTGAAGACTCGACCTCCCATCCCCTTTTCCAGAGGGTGGAGGGACGTGTCAACATTAAAAAGCAAAAGGCCCAGCAGGGGGGGGGGGGGGCTCACCATGCCCCTCCTGCCACAGCCCCGAGGGGAGCAGCTTTCACAGAGATTGGCTTCCAGGCAAAGCCCAGAACTGGGGTGGGGAGAAAGGAGAACAGGCGGTTCCTGCCTTTTGCGAACTTCCCACTCCCTCTTAGACCATTCCTGTCTGTGAACCTGGCCGCCCTGGACTTCCAGTCCTTCTGAGATCCTCCCCAGGCTGGTCCAGACGTGGGAGGCAGAGGGGTAGCCCCAGGCTGGGCCAGATGTGGGAGGCAGAGGGGTAGCCCCAGGCTGGGCCAGACGTGGAGGCAGAGGGGGTAGCGGGCGCCCCGGCCGGAGCTCCCTGGGAGTCCAGGGGTCGAGCGCCAGCCTTTGGTGTTCGCCTTTGGTAAGTCGCTCGCCCTCCCTGGGCCCGCGTGTCCACGGTACAATGAGGACACCAGCCCACAGTCCCTCCTCTGGGCTGCGGAGTCTTCTAGGGCTTGGCCTCTGGGTCAGCCCAGGAATGCAGCCAAGGGGTGGGGCCCCCTGCTGGGTGGGCTTGCACCCCAACCCCTTCCTCATCCCCAGCAGCCTCTCCTCTCCCCTGTGTGACACAGCTCCTCGCAGCTGTTCCTCGGGCCCAGGCAGGGAGCCCGGCTTGGCGCGTCCCTGGCTGAGGCCGACGAGAGAAAACAGGTTAAAAGTTCAGCCCTTGTTCTCTCCAGGAAGAAAAAATCTGTAGCACTCGGAGTGTGAAAAGGAACCCTTTTTTTTTTTTTTTTTTTTTTTTTTTTCCAGCTCCAAAGCAGCACAATAGAATTACCTCCAATTTGCCATCAAAACATGCCCTTGGCACTGGGATCCCACTGTCCCTGGCACACACACACACACCCGTTCCCCATCGCCAGCCCCCAGGGGACACAGTGGCCAGAAACACAAGCCACGGGTGGTCATGGGTCACTGCTGCACCCTCCCTGACTGGGGCCATTTCTCGTTAAGTGCTTCCTCCGTTTCCCACCTTCCATCCCCAGTGTCCCAGCCCAAGTTCAAGACCTTGTCACTCCCATTTCGACCTTCAGAGCAGCCTGGACACTGAGCACCCTGCCCCCACTCTCCTCCCTCCCAATCCCCCCAGACTCTCAAATGAAGTGTCTAGAAATTGACCGCATAGGAGGCAGGTCCCTGTGTGATCCTTACGAAGTCTCTCCCCCCCTTCTTTGTGCCTCTGTTGCCCTATATGTAAAGCGAGGCGGTTGGGCTGCACCAGGGAGAGGCTCTGACAAGGCGGGGGTCAGTTTCCGGTGCACCGTGGTGAGACGCATCGAGCCGCAGTGGTGTATGGGGATGGATTGGTGATGTCTGCCTCGGGCACCTAGGGGAGCGTGGCCGCTGACATGCCTCTCACCCCCTCCCTGAGCGAGGTGGCGGGAAAGATCCGGCTGTGACTTTTCAGGTCTCTCTCTAGGTCTCTGCACCCACGCCCTCATAGCTGGGTGTCTTCAGACCTCACGTCCTATCAGACTGTGATCTGTTCCACTGTAGGGTCTTCCTATCGGTTGTTTCCTCTTCAGGTCACCAGCACGGGGCCTGCTGCAGGACAGTCATTAGGGTGTGTTCGTTGAATGAATGCTTGAAAGGGGCCGATTGAAACCCGTTCAGTGCATTGGGTGGTTGGTGACTGTTCGCTCTCCCCACAGAAACGCTGATGGATTCCACCACGGCGACGGCGGAGCTCGGCTGGATCGTGCATCCTCCTTCAGGGGTGAGTCCGTGGTCCCCCAAACCCTGCCTGGTCCCCCAGGATACCTTGGGTTTTGCGGCAGGGCCTGGAAGCCCCCTCACATTCCAGCCCCTTTCCCTCCTTCAGAGCCTGAGGCCAAGCCTCTCATTGCCCCACCCACTGGGACCTCTACCATGAGTGGACCCCCCCCCCCCGTTACCATGACAACGTTCTGGATGCATTGCACTGTCCCATGGAGTCCTGGGGGGAAGCTCAGAAGTAGGTACTTGCACTGCCCCCTTTTACAGATGAGGAGAGTGGCCTGTCGTTACGTCAGCACCCAGGGTAGGTCAGATACTGTGTCCAGCACCTTTTCACACACCCTCTCCACTCCCCGGGGAAGGAACCAGCTCCATTGGACAGGTGAGGAGACTGAGGCTCAGAGAGTCGTAGCCACTTGACAGGGGCCCTGAGGCTAGTAAGGGGCAGGGCTCAGGCTTATATTGAATCCTCTGGGCCCCTCTCTGGGTCCCTATAACACCAGGCTCCCCCTCCCTGAGCTCTTGACACCTTGCATTTGGTGGTCTGAGCTCAGGTGGTCTGCGGGCTCCCCTGGGGCAAGATCAGGCAGGATTCCAGATCCCTCTTTCTCCCCGCCCCAACCAGCCGAGCACTTGCATACAGGCTGTGGGGTAATTCTCTCCCAACTCTGCCCCTCGCCACTGGCTGGTTGCGGGCCAGTGCTGTAACCTCTCTGAACTCAGGTGTCCTCATCTCTCACACGGGGATAAGAATGCCTTCCTCTCGGGATTCTTGTGAGCTTTTCCTGCAGAGTAGCTGGCACAGGGCTGGGCGTGGAGTGGGCTCCCAAAAGCGAGGAGCTAGAATAAATACCACTTCGTCATTGTAACCGTCATCATTCTCAATACTGTTCCCTCCTCATCCCTCTGGCCTCCGGGGAAGGTTCTGGGCTCCCACAGCCCATCCCTTCCCTTCCCCCACCCCAGCTTCTGTGCTGGGACTCAGCTGCTGCCCATGGAGCTGCATATCCCATCCCTGCCTCTCCCCCACCCACCCCCGCCACCTCCCCCCTGAAGGCCCGCGCTCTCAATAGGCAGGGCCCCGGGTCAGGCTTCTTTCTGTGGCTCTTTCTTGTCACCAGTTTTCCATCTGCAGAGCAGCAGGGCCCACGGCCCCACCCTGCCGGTAATGAGGCCAGGCTGGGCTGCAGGGCCCCCGGACGCAATTATTTGGGGTGTTTAGGCTGCAGGGCCTCCGCATGTTAATTAGAGAGAGGGGAGAAAGGCAGAGTGCTCTAATTAAGTGCTCTAATTAAGTTCTGAAGAAGAGCAGTGGTTGTAACAAGGGGCTGACTTTGTCACATGGTGCCACCAAAAAGGAAAAAAAATAAATAAATTAGACACAATATAAGGAGCGTCAGAGACGCCGCGGAAGGAGAGGCTGGGCCAGCAGGCTTCAGCTCAGCCTTCCCCGCACACACTCACCCTCCCCAGCATCGGCCCTCCCCAGCATCGTCTCTCCCAGACCAGCTGCTATTGCCCCGCCCCGCCCCGTGCAGACCTGGCCCAGAGCATCACAGGGAGACAGACAAAGGACACCCATCGAATGCGACAATTCTCCCGCCCCCACCGTAGTCCTATTGGGCAGTTGGGGGAATAGAGGCCCAGAGAGGGAAGTGACTTGCCTGAGGCCGCACACCCAGTTAGCAGAGCTGGGACAAAACCCGGGGCCCTGTCGAGGCAGCATGGGCAAGCCAGTGAATGGGTCTGGGGCTGGGTGACCTGGGTCAGGGGACCTCCCTTCTCTGGCCTCTACTCCCTCATCTGTAAAATGGGGCTGACCACACGCACCACGTGTGAGAAACATGACAAAAACCCTGTCAGCTCCCAGCTCCTGGGCCGATGGGGTGGGTTCCGTGATCGGCAAACTGCGGCTCTCGAGCCACATGTGGCTCTTTGGCCCCTTGTGTGTGGCTCTTCTACAAAATACCACGGCCTGGGAGAGTCTGTGTTGAAGAAGTGGTGCGAGAAGAAGTTTAAGTTTAAAAAATGTGGCTCTCCAAAGAAACGTCAATCATTGTCCTGCTGCTATTTGGCTCTGTTGACGAACGAGTTTGCCGACCACTAGGGTGGATGAGGGTATTCTGCTTGTGGGGTTCTTTGGGGGTTACCCTTTCGGTAACCTGGTCTGCCAGGTAAGGCCAGCCCACCACCAAGGGGACACAAGAGAAGGAGGGGAACGGTAGCTACCCTCAGCACGCTCTCAGGCCCATGGAGGAGACCAGACCAAAAGGCGGAGGGTGCCCAGCACTTGCCCTGGCAGGTGGCCCCCCGTGGATGCAAACACTGCAGCCAGACGGAGAGCCTGCTGCAAGAGGTCCCAGGAGGATGGAGAGGAGATGAGAGGGTGGGCAAGGAGGGCACAAACGTGTGCGCCAAGCTCAGCAGGGCAAGGGGCGTGGCCTTGGAGGGTCTGTGAGGAGAGAGTATGAGTCCCGGGCCCACCCAGTTCCAACGCTCATGGCCCAATTCCAACGGCCTCTCCAGCAGGAGAGGAGGCCTGGGAGCGCTCCGCTGGCTGTGGAGCCCAGGCCGGCCCAGGGGGTTGCTGAAGCACCTGCCCCGGGCAGCACAGCGGGAGGGCTCCCTCCAGGCACCGTCTGAGCCTCTTATTGACCAGAACAGGGTAGGGTCCTGTCTTCCCAGTCACAGGGCTAAGGGCTCTTCTTCCATCGGACAGGGAGCCCCCAAGGGCACAGACTGTGCCTCCCTGGTCAGGCAGGGAATTTCCAACAGGCAGAATGGCCTCCCCATCCGACTGGTAGCTCCCTGAGCACACAGCTCTGTCCGCTCTCAGTGAACCCCTGGGCCGCCTCTATCATATTGACTAGGCCAGTGGTCTGCAAACTCAATCGTCCACAGAGCCAAGTATCAACAGGACAACGATTGAAATTTCTTTGGAGAGCCACATTTTTTAAACTTAACCTTCTTCTCACGCCACTTCTTCGAAATAGACTCGCCCAGGCTGTGGTATTTGTGTGGGAGAGCCACACGCAAGGGGCCAAAGAGCCGCAAGTGGCTCGAGAGCCGCAGTTTGCCGACCACGGGACTAGGGGATACCAAGAGCAGAGTATGCGCCCTGCCCATCAGAGAGACCTGCCTCCCTCATAGACTGAAGAATTCCCAAGGCCAAGGCCAAGTCTCCCCCTCCCTTAGGGCGTTCTGTGATGGGAGGGGTCCTGAATCCATCATCCAAGTGGAAGACGCCTAAGGTAGAGTCTGTGCCTCCCCCATCAGACTAGGAGGCCCCTGCTTCTCAGAGTCCTGTCTATTCCCCTTCAGACTGGAGGGTTCCCTAAGGTGGTGGTGGTGGTTGGGGGGGTGTCTTTTCTCTTTGGGTGCTCCTCGGGCTAAGCCCCTCCCTCCCCCACCTGACGAGCGTGTCCCCCCCCCCCCCCCACAGTGGGAAGAGGTGAGCGGCTACGACGAGAACATGAACACGATCCGCACCTACCAGGTCTGCAACGTGTTCGAGTCGAGCCAGAACAACTGGCTGCGGACCAAGTTCATCCGGCGCCGCGGCGCCCACCGCATCCACGTGGAGATGAAGTTCTCGGTGCGGGACTGCAGCAGCATCCCCAGCGTGCCCGGCTCCTGCAAGGAGACCTTCAACCTCTACTACTACGAGGCCGACTTCGACTCGGCCACCAAGACCTTCCCCAACTGGATGGAGAACCCGTGGGTGAAGGTGGACACCATCGCGGCCGACGAGAGCTTCTCGCAGGTGGACCTGGGCGGCCGCGTCATGAAGATCAACACGGAGGTGAGGAGCTTCGGGCCCGTGTCCCGCAGCGGCTTCTACCTGGCCTTCCAGGACTACGGCGGCTGCATGTCCCTCATCGCCGTGCGCGTCTTCTACCGCAAGTGCCCCCGCGTCATCCAGAACGGCGCCGTCTTCCAGGAGACGCTGTCCGGGGCCGAGAGCACCTCGCTGGTGGCCGCCCGCGGCAGCTGCATCGCCAACGCCGAGGAGGTGGACGTGCCCATCAAGCTCTACTGTAACGGGGACGGCGAGTGGCTGGTGCCCATCGGGCGCTGCATGTGCAAAGCGGGCTTCGAGGCCGTGGAGAACGGCACCGTCTGCCGAGGTAAGGGCCGCGGCGGGATGGGTGCCCCTGCGTGGAGTGGGTACTGGGCCTGGCCTCGGGGAAGTCAGGCTGGCAAGGGCAGTGACCTGGAGCTGACCGACCGGGAGGCATTCTGGCGAGGCTTTTCCGATCTACATCTGTGGTTTGGCTTCTCAGAGGCGTTTGAACGGCATTTTTAAAAAATATATATATATTTTTAGATTTCAGAGAGGGTAGAGGGAGAGAGAGATAGTAACATCAGTTATGAGAGAGAATCATTGATCGTCCGCCTCCTGCATGCCACACACTGGGTACTGAGCCTGCAACCTGGGCATGTGCCCTGACTGGGAATGGAACCATGACCTCCTGGTTCATAGGTTGATGCTCAGCCACTGAGTCACGCCGACGGGGCTAACCGGCATTTCTTGATGGTCGTACGTGTATGTACTGTGCAGGGTTCGGGTGAGAGGAGGTGCTGCAAGACGATTTTAGTCGCATGAGGATGTTTCTCATTTTAACAATTATATAGATCTTATCTGATGCTAAGTGGTGCTCTGTTTCTTCATGAACAGAAGTGATGTAGTTTCCTTCGTAAGAAAATGTATAGGTCATCACATTTAAAAGTCAACATTTATTGAGCTTCTTTTGTATCAGTCAGTATAGGCCAGGCTGTGCTGAAATGACAAAACTATAGAAGTTTACCTCTCACTCACCATTCCATGCCCATCGGGGTTCAGCTTGGGATTCCTCCTTCTGGGAACCAACCAGATGGAGGAGCCTCTGTTTGGGGTGTCACGATCACCAGGGCAGAAGGAGCTCGTGGTTCACAGGCTTCAGCCCGAAATGACCCCGCATCACTCCGTGCCCTCCAGCCACAACGCAAGTCACGTGGTTCCTTCCAATGTAAAGCGATGGGGAAGTACGATCCCGCTGTGGACCAGGCCTCCTGACCACCGCTTTTACTGTGTGCTGGCCACCCGACATGTCTCACTCATTTAATCCTCGTAAGAACCCTGTGAGGGAAAGCGCCTTTTTATTTAAGAAATTGAAGCAGAGAGCCTTACTCGCATATACACTGAGTGGCCAGATTTTTATGATCTCTGAACACATAATAATCTGGCCACTCAGTGTATATCTTATATAATAAAAGGCTAATATGCAAATTGTCCCCTCGACCAGGAGTTCGACCAGCAGGCAGGCTGGCCAACCGCCATGTCCCCTCCTCCTGGCCAGGCTGGCCAGACCCATCCATGCACAAATTCATGCACCGGGCCTCTAATATATATATTATACACACCCACACACACACACACACACACACACACACACACACACACACATACACTGAGTGGCCAGATTATTATGCATTCAGAGATCATAATAATCTGGCCATTCAGTGTAGAAGGTGGAGGAGCCAGGAGTCTTACACCCAGGTAGTGGGATTCCAAACTCCCCTTCCAAACAGCTCTGGGTGTCTATGCTCTGAGTGTTTATACTATGCTGCTTAAGTTAGTTCAAGGGGAAACATTAAATAAACAATAGTACAGGTGGTGTTTGACTGTGGCACAGTTTACGGCTTTCCCAGGTTGTAAACATAGGGGGTTTGTGAGGTCCTGCCTGGTGGTGGTAAGAAGGCTGTGAAGGTGGACAGACTTGGGTTCCAAGCCCAGCCCTGGCCGTTAGGAGCTGTTTGTCCTGGGCCGAGTGTTAAAGCCTCTTTCCTATGGGGCTTGTGAGGATACAGCAATTTAAGTCCTAGAAAGCATTTATTATGGCTTCTCCTACACAGTCAGAGCTTAATAAATGCTAACTAACAGATGATGTATACAAAGCCCAGCCTTCAGCACACCTTCCTTGCACCTGCTCTGTGTCGGATCTTGTGCTCAGCATCAGGTAAGCAGAGAAGAACCTGGTGCAGGTACTCTGCCACATGAGCTGTGCTGGTGCTGGTGCTGGTGCTGGTATAGGAGATTTGAAGTCTATCTGTGCCTTGTCCTCTTGGCTTCCCATCAGAATCAGACCCTGAGGTGCTCCAAATGCCAGACTAAGAGTTTGGACCCTCTTCCAGGGGCCTTGAAGAGCCAGTAGAAGTCTAGCCTGGGTAGTTGCAATGACTTTTACCTCCAAAAAACGCAGTCACTTCCACCATCTCTATAGTCAGTCCCTCCACTCCCACCTTCTGGGCATTTTAAGGGTCCCTGGGAGGATAAATGGAGGTACAAGAGACAGGAACAGTGGCCTGAGAGGAAGCTGCTGCAGCGAAGGCATCCACAGTACTGGAAAGAGGAACAGGGGCGTCAAGAGATGTTTGACAGTGAATTGGATGAGATGCAGACCCAGGCAGGAAAGGGAGGAGGGAGAGGCATCAAAGGGAGCAGGGAATTCCAGCTTGCAGGGAGGTGATGGTCCTGGAACAGACGTGGGGAAGTTGGGAGAAAGGCCAGTTTCTTGGGGGCAGATAACAGATCTGGGTGTCTATATCTGAATGTGAAATTGTGCAGCCTTAGGTGATGGCAGGACCTGGGGGATAGAATCAGTCACACATTGCTTGTTGTTTATTCACTCACCAAACCTTCCTTGCACCTGCTCTGTGTCAGACCCTGTGCTAAGCATCAGGTAAGACAGAGAAGAATCTGTCTGGGCCCTGTCCTTCAGGACCTCACAATTGAGACAGACTGTCTCTATATATAAAAGCCTAAGCGACTGGCCGACCAGCCCAGTTGCTATGACGTGCACTGACCACCAGGGGACAAGTGCCCAATGCAAGAGTGGAAACCACAGGCATGGAAACATGGAACAGACTGATGAATCTCAGAGGGAAGAGGGGAGGAGGGAAGGTGGGAAAAGATTAACCAAAGATCTTATATGCATACTTGAGGTATGCGGGGTCCCTTGGTCTGGTTTGTGGGGATCGGGCCAAATCTCGCTCTCCAACATCTCCCGAGGGGGTCCTAGATTACAAGAGGGTGCAGGCCAGGCCTAGGAATCCTCCCCCCAACCACCACCAGTGCACAAATCTGTGCACCGGGTCTCTGGTAAGTGAATAAGGGAGGCAGTGATTGAACTTGCTTTAATAGGAACTGCTCAGGCTGCAATGGGCATAAAAAATGAGGGAAGGCTTCACAGAGGAGGTGACACTGACACTGGTTATCTTAGGAGAGAGATATGCTGGGCCAGGCCATCTAGAGGGTGGATCTGCATGACAAAAGACCTGGGGATGTGAATCAGCGTGGCCCCTTCAGGGGACCAGTACACTGTTTGCTGTGGCTGAGACTAAGGACTTCAGGAAGGGCGTAGGAAGAACTGTCACTAGAAGGATGCCTAGAGGGGAGGTGTACTAGTTATCTATTGCTGCATAACAAGTTACCCCACAAATTTAGCAGCTTAAAACAATAAATATTTACTATCTCACAGTTTCTAAAGGTCAGAAATCCAGTTGTGACTTAGTTGGGAGCCTGAGGCTCAGTTGCTCCTGAGGTTGCAATCAGGCTGTGGGCTTGGGGCTACAGGTTTATCTGAAGGCTGGACTGGGGAGGGGTCAGCTTCCATTTCACTCACGTGGCTGTCAGCTTCAGTTTGTCACCACCTAGTTCTTGCACATGTGCCGTGGCTTACCCCAGAATGAGGGATCCCAGAGAGTTTGAGAGGGTACCTAGGAGAAACACCACAATCTTCTCATCAGCCTCATCTTAAAAGTGACATTACTTCTGCCATAGTCATTTCATTAGAAGCGAGACACCAAATTCAGCTCACACTCCAGGGGACCGAATTACACTGGGCGTGAATGCCAGGAATTGGGGTCCTTGGGAGCCATCATAGAGGTTGCCTGTCACAGGCAGCTTCTCTGAATCCAGACTTCTTGCAAGGAGTGAGGATTCAAGGTACTGCTGGGGCAGGATGTGCACCAGACCTGGCTCCTTTATACTCCGCGCCTCCTCCTGGACCTACAGCCCACCCAAGGCCCAGGCCCAGCCAGCCTCTGGGTGTGAGCCGAGGCCAGTCAGGGTATGATTAATGAGCTCAGGGATCCAGGACACCAGCTGCGGCGGTGGCTTGTGCTGCAGCCACCCAGATGTGGGGCCGCTCCCACCCAAGTCCCGCAGGCATGGGCGCCGATGGTCCCTTGTGTAGGAATGGCGATTACAGCTCACATCCGAGGTGTTAGCAACGTGCTGTCTCATCCTCTGGCTTAGGGATCCTCAGCCTTTGCTGCGCCTCCGAATTCATTAGGAAGTTGGTTAAAACACACATTCCCGGGTCTGGTGCAAACCTCTCCCCCAGGTCTGGTTCCGTGGCTCTGAGGTGGGGCCACAAATCAGCATTTTAAAACAAGCAGCTCGGACGCTTCTGTGACAGGCCCGTTAGCTCGGACACACGATGTGGTAACCCATCTTTGCCAGATGATGGCCACAGTCCCAGTCCCTCCACCACCACCCCCAGGGAGCGTCCACCCTGAGGGATGAGAGGGGACACTAGCCGAATGTCTACAAGGGAAAGGGTGGTGATTGGTGATTTAATGTTTAATATTGAAGCATAACTTGATGGGGAAAATCCATTTAACATTGAAACATAATTCGATAGGAAAACTCCATTGCTTTGTTAATACGAATGAGAGGAAATAAGGCTGGATAAAGTCTTCCTGGCAGAGGGGGATAGGTGTCCTAGTGGGGAGGGGCCAGAGGCAGGCATTGGTGGCTGGTGAAGGGTGGGAGGTCCCAGTGGGCGGAGTGGTTTACAGAACTAACTGAGTCCATCGGCCCAGCGTCCTCTGTGCCTCCTGTGTGCAGGGCACAATGAGAAGGAGAGGGGCCTGGAGAAGCCAATCACCATTCAACAGGCATGTACTGTGTACCCTTCCGTGTACCTCTCAGCCCTCTCACAGATACTTCCCAAGGGCCTCCCGGGAGCGAGGCAACATGCCCGTGCTGAGAAGTACAGATGTGAACAAGACCCAGACATTCGTCGCCCTCCCGGAGTTTTCAAGCTGAGTAGGCAAAGAAAGGGAAGGTGGTGAGGGGAAA